CCCCTCTCCCCAGCCCGGCTCCCCTCCCTGCCTAGCGTGCCTGGCGGTTTCCGAGCTGGGCTTGGGTTAGCTCTCGGCTTCCTCTTACGGTGCTTGGGATCCCTCATTTTCCATATCGAGCAGCTTTTCTTTAGATTGACCACCTCGGAAGTCCCTAATACCTGGTCCCGGCTTGCACATTCTTTTGTCCTGATGCAAGCATGGCTCTGGTGACTTTCGTGACTATTTCCTCCAGGCTTCTAGGCTGACAGTCTCGCTCAAACCAGCGGAGCTGCTCAGAGAATAAAGCCAAGGCGATGGTAATGCCTCTGTTTTGCCCTGTTCCTGAACATAGAAATGAGTTGTATCCTGCATTTGTAACTATTTTAATTTGCCATTTTAGGGATAGCAGTGCCAGCTTGAATGCCCCTTCCCTTTCAGACAGTAAGGATTTGCCAAACTTAATGGCTGCTTTGATTGTTTCTGGGATTAAGTGTCACAGTTCACTGGCTTTATCATGCAATGCTAGATTGAGCTGGGTCTTATTATCCATCTTGTACGTGTGTATGTTCATCTTGTTCCAAACAGGCAGGTTCTGGATTGGTGAGATGTGTTAAATGAAGTTTCCCTGATCAGGACTGCTTGATTTCACGGGTTTTATTAAGTGACCAAGCATAGGTAAAGATATTGTTTCTGTTCAAGGACATAATTAAATAGAGAAGAACTAAATTCTGCAGAGAAAAGCTGAATTTGGAGAGAAAGAAGTAGCAGGGCAACCCTGAGCTCTTTCTGTGTGTTCAACATCTGATTATACAAATGATTTTTCTTTCTGGGGCCTGTCAAACTCCCATTTCACCTTAGTAGAAAGGGATTTCAGTGGCACTGGGCTCACACAGCATCCTTCACTGAAGGCTCTTAGAACAAATCACAAATGCAACATATGAAACCTCCTTGGTGAGCCTCATCTGAGAGAGGAAAAGACAAAGGCAGAGGCAGAATGCGCTCAATGTCACAAAGGAGTTTTCCAGCAGAGCTGGGAAAAATTACCAGAGCCGCAGTGTCCTGACCTTGGTCCTCACCTGCCAGACTTTGCCCTTCTGTCCTAAGATGGCAGCCAGGGCAAACCCAGCCCTGCCTTCAGGAAGGGCAGGGGAGAGGGGACAGGAGGCACCCGTCCTTTAGTTCCCCTTAGTAAATCTGGGCCCATATATTGCTTGTTTAGTAAACAATCTCTGTAATAAAGAGGTTTACACTGTATTCACAAGGATGCCTGGAGGATGACCCAGTGTTACTGTGCTATAAAGACAGTTGATAAGAACTTGGGAGACCAACTGCGATGATCTTTACAGCTCCCCCTGCAAAGAGCTGCCTCCTTTTCTGTTGCATGCTAATTTATAAATAGCCCTGATTCTGCTACTTGGAGAAAGCTTTCGTTTCTCCTTGTACTGGATCTATGTGATACTCTGCAGTGGAGAACAGATGTTTGTACCAGATTCTGCTCCCATGAAATCAGCAGTAGAAGACTCAGAGGCGAGGGGTGAAATAGCATCGGGATTATCTCCTGTCTTCGGTTCAGAGCTCCTGTTGCAGCCAGTCTGAAAGGCCAGGGCGTCTCAAGCGCATGCCTGGGTCTCTGCTGGAGATGAGCATCCTGTTGTTTGCAAAGTCCAGTTAGAGCTAAAGCTGAAAAGAAAAAAAGTGTCTGTCTGCATAAACAGGAATTTTCCTCAATTGCAGGAGCCAGCAGAGGACACTGCTTTGTCTCTGGCTCTGAAAGGGCTGGGTGATTTTATTTTTGGTTCCTTTTGCTGCCTTCTTCCTGCTCCATGACTCTGGTGGCACCTTCAGTAGAAGAACAGTTGCTGTCCCTTCTTTTTTACCCATATCCATCAGAGGATTTTGTTTTCCAAATTTTCTGCTGCTGCTGACAATAACGCTCCTGTATAGCTTTACTTAAGGGAGGAAAGAAACAAAACCACATGACAAATTGGTCCAATTTATCACAGCAACAGAAACCTGCAATTCAGCTAAATCGCCCCCACAGGCCAGCTTAGACGGCGTCAATATTTAATGACCCAAGTGCTGCTGCCTTCGCAGCTCCGGCTTCCCCTCTACCCCTCCCCACATCACAGCATGCCCCCCTCCAGTTTGTCACTCCACCAGTGGGGAAGGACACCTCCGCCCTTCCTCTACTGCAAGCAGGGCCTGTCTTCATGCTGCCAGGCTGGCCTGCTTCGTATCCAGAGTGGCACAGCCCAGACCTGCAGGGCATGACCCAATTCTGCCCCTTTTCCTACCTGGCTGGACCACCTGTGCAGCACATTTATGCTGGAGGAACAGCTCCCAGCTTTCTGGGCATGCCTGTGATACGTGGCAAGGAGACAAGTGGAAGCAGGACTGGACCCATCTCGGCTCATGGCCTCTCCTACAGTCTTTTTTTCGAGTGATTGTATAACTCAGGACTGTTCACCTGGCAGCAGGCTGGAGGTGGCTTCTGTTCAGCTGTCTACATCTGTTCCCATTACTCAGGCAGGAGTATATTATCCCAGAAGGAGCTGCAGTGAAATAAATTGCTGGCAACACATCCCACACGTGGTGCAGGAGGACCTGAAAAGAGGATGAGCCAAGCCATGCAAATCCCACCAGTGAGCAAAGTGGGTGATCTCTTTTGCCGGGCGCAGGCTCCACACTGGCCACAGAGACTGGCATGGGAGACCACCTCCCAGCTCCAGCCCAGCATGCCGCAGGGGCTCCTTTCTGGCTTGCTCTGCCTGGAACAGCAACAGGAACAAGTGAGAGGTTACACGGCTCTTGGCTCAGCTTCCCTGTAAAATGGAGATGACTGAGATCTGGTGACAAGCACAAAGAAGAGGCATTTTTATTTATCAGGCCAGTGACGGGGCAGGGAAATTTGCACTCCTGGGCTGGGAATAAATGACCCAGCAACATGAATTCCTCCAGCAAGACTGCACCTTCCACCAGGCTCTCTTGGTTCCCTTCAAAAACCCCATTATCCAGAAAGTTGCATATTCCAAAGGGGGAGTTCATCATCCACTCCAATGGTAGCGAGCGGCAGAGACCATCACCATTACAACACATAGCTTTTGGTAAGATGGCTCTGTAATTCACTTGGTATTTAACACTGGCCGGGGGGCTCATCTCTTTACACAAAGTACATTAAGCAAAGCACCTTTGTGAACATCCCCCTGTGCTAAAGAGCTGTTATAATAAGGGTGATTAGGAATAAACATAACAGCAGAGGCTGCTGTCTCAAAATAGTTTGGGTCAGCGGCTGCATGGCAGAGGGGAGTCTGATGCACACAGAGGACTCGTGTGTTTGCGAGAGAACAGCTGGCTTGCTGCAGTTCATCCAGACGCTGGGCCTTTTCCAGCGCCAGAGCTTGGCAGCTGCTGGGGGGGGGCTCTTCCCTCCCCCGGAGCGCTTGGTGACT